GTCTCGATCTCTACATATTTTTATAAGAATCAATAAGATTTTGCCGACGCTGAGTGGTATGCCACAGTGCATACAAAGACCGATCTTTAATAGGAAGTAGTTAAAGGATGTAACAATTTGGCAACGGAGTACCACAACCTGATTATAACTTTACGGTCCAAACGTTACAGCAGTGAACTAAGACCACCTGAGTTCCTATCACCATGTTCTAAAGGACTTCTCCAGTGTTGAAGAATAGCACTATGATTCAATTTTTTCCATGGACCTCGAAACTTGAAATCTTGCGTAACGTTAATTTTGCTGGCAAGGTTCCACAATGCGGTAAATCAACGGTTTCTGCTGAGCCTTACTTTGCGATACCTATGCAGTAAAAGTTGTGCAAAAGTTTTGTTCTAAAAACTAATTTGGCGCTATTACGGTCCCCAGTGTCCAATTCATAAAACGCTTTCTTCCTTACACTTCTTCTTTTTTCTTTTCTCATTTCTATTGCATTTATTTATCGGCCTTTGAGGAATATCTGTGCATGTCATCTTTCCTATCTGATGATGTTTCCACTAAACACACTTTCCCGACCCTACAGTTTAACAGAGATCCATGTGCTGTAATCGACAATATAGTACGCAATATTGGCAACTCTGCAGCTCCAACGCTGAAAAACTGCCGTCTTAAGAACATGAAGAACTTTTTTTGGTCCCACTATAACAATCGCTATTACACCCTCTAAAAATTTCAGACGGGTTAAAACGCATTGAAAACTCGGTATACTTCAAAGCTCCAAAATTTTTAAACTGGTTATTTTTACTAGCGCTTGAAAGGAATCCATGTCCGAAAAATTAAAGCGCTTCAAAATGAGTGCGATACATATAGGACCTTTCAATTCTGCTTTATTTTTTGTTCACTGGCTTGTATACATGGAAAACAGTTCCAAGAAACCTTTGATAACTTTGCAAAATAAACACTATATTTAGAACTTTGGATAACCCTCAGAACAACGGCCTCAAACTGCCAATTGGCTAACTGATTTCCTCAAATCTCAAAAAACAGATGGACTGAAAACGCATCGATAACGGCATTTAGAAAACTCTCTTGATATCTTCTACCCACGACACATAGCATTTTTTCATTTGGAAACTGCTTAACCAATTCAAACTTGAATATAAATCTTTACTTTGGCAGGGAGGAAAATTTTGCGTTTTGTTTCAAAATGTCTTCTGCCAAGTAGTTTTTTTCAATAATTATGGCTCATTTTAATCAAATGACCTGTAAAAAAATTCTAATCGCTAATTTTGGAGGATCTGCAGCAGTATTTTTTCCACTCAGCAACTGATTCGACTTGTATTCAATTAACCGCATCCAAACTTCTACTTTCTATACGACACTTCAATAGATGCAAAGATAAACAATTTTGACATACAAATTAGTTTTAAAGTGATTAGCTTTGTAGATAGTGCTTCCCTGTTGAGTCCTTAAAAATCACTCCTGAGTACCTCAGTGGTCTACAGTTCTTTGAGAATATTCATGGAACTCTGGTATCAGAGCAGTTTTAGTTACAATAGAAGCATGAGCCAATCAGCGATAAGAAAATCTACTAGGTGACTGCGGAGCTTGAAAAACCACGAAAGTGCCAAAAATGGTCACCTGAAAATCCAGTTTTTATTATTCTAACAAATCTTTTCAAGGAGATTAAGACTGGTGTTGAAAGGGGAAGAAATTGACTCAGTGAAAAAACTGCATACTTAAGGAAATTTCCTCTGTGTCATGTACTCATCCGGAAGGGAGGAGCTCCTTTTGTAGCATCACCCAAAATACCTTGGATATCCGCTTGTCTTTCTGCCACTGAAATGACTTTTCTGTACTATGTCGCTTCTTTCTTCTCAAAAGATGTTTCAGATGCCTGTACTCCGGTTGCAGGTCCATGAAAATCGCTTTCGGCCTGGCCTCGACAGCCAACTTCGGTATGAGTCTGGGTTTCAGCATTCTGAGACTCACTGCGTTAGTCTTTGTTCCATCACCACTAGTAACTGATGGTGCTTATCGCTGAGTGCACCAAAATTTTACGTATAAAAGTATAGCCTTTGGTTCGTACCGTACTAGAAAAAAGTAATGCATAACGCATTTCCAGGAGATGGTCTGTACTTATAAAATCCCACTTCATCAACAAACAGCTAAATTTTTTCTCTCAAAATACTTTGCTCTATCTACGTTACCTCATTCATTGCTTAACGTAATCATCACCGATCTTTGGAATCAAACGTAATCATCACCGATCTTTGGAATCAACAACAAAGTTGAAAAAATTCGCACAAGTTAAACAACATTACAAGACCAAAAAACAAGTTTGATAATCTTTCACGAGCCCCAGCAGTTCCGTGTAACAATAAATACAAAAAAAAAAGTAACGCAATTGCTTAACTGTTCTAATTACAAAATCCGGATTTAAATAAACATTCCAAACTAATGAAGCGACAGTTGCCTGGTAAATTATAAAAGCTGTTGGAGACAGAGAACTCGAAAAAGCTCTCAATTTTTCCCAACTAAGCCAGTACAAATGGTTAACTGTTCTTCGACATCCTGCGTAGCGATTATCGACTTGACACAGAATTAACGTCCTAGGAAGACGAATTTCTTTGGACATTGCAGGCTGCTATACAAGATATTAAGAAACACCTCAAAGTAAAAAAAGTAAAAAATGCTCGACTTCATCTTATGAAAGCAGTATAACTAGACAGTTAATTCATAATGCGCTCTAAAAATTATAGATTTGATCTGAAATAAGCACCATGAGTACATGAAAATTGTTACGGAATAGTAGCACGTCATAGCGATGTGAAACACTAAAACGTTCCGA